GGAGATGCTGTCTCACACACGCACACACACACACACACACACACACGCACGCCCATGATTTTATAAAATAAAGAGAGAGACATCCGGATCGATCCGACAGCGGAGGACTCTGAGGACAAAGACGGAACCGGATCGATCAGACCACCGATCCTCTCACATCCGCTCCGACTGGAAATCTGAAGATCTCGTTGTCATGTCAACGAGATCCGACGAGACTTTCTGGTTCTTCTGAAACTTGAGGGATGCTGAAGCGACTTCCTCCTCTGACCTCCATCCTCCAGCTTCATCCTCATCATCCTCATCATCCTCACCTTCACTGCTCCGTCTGAGGATTACAGTGATCAGAGTTTACTGATTTCAGTTTGAGTAAAGCTGCTAAAAAGGCCAGTAAATTAATTAAAATGAAATCAGTGAGATTGTAGTTCAACAAACTGAGATTAAATTATTTAAAGATTATATTTTTGTCCTCAGAAGCAGCAAAACAATCTCACCACAAGGTCTGTTTATGATTCCCTCCAGGAAGTTAACTTACCGTAAATTCTGCACAACCTGAAATTTTATCCAATAGTTGAGAGCATGCGAACATTTACCCTCATAATACTGAGAATTTTCAAAAATCCCAAAAATGTAATTTTATTCTCACTGGAACAAGTTGCCTTTGATTTATAAAGAATAAAAAAAAAATGCTATTTTTGTAATTTTAATGTTAAAAAATGGCTAAAAACTTTGCTACATGCATCACAATTTATTGTAAAAGCTGGACTGAGTCTGAAATACATAAAGCTTAAACTTCAGAGGACAAGTTGACACTGGAATACGAAGGACGGAGGCTTAAGAGGGACAAAAACACGTCAAAGCATCTCTGTACAAGACTTTTGATGTAATTTTAACATTTTGCCAAATGTTCAAATAAGTGCAGTCGAGTCTCCAAAGTTTGGATGAAAGAAACTATTTTTCCGGACACACCTGAAAAGACTTTAGCTCCACACCTACTGTACCAAAGTCCAGCCAAAAGATCAACAATTTAACGTCTCTCTGAGCGGTTGTGATTTTAAACCTTTTACATGCGTCAAAAGAAGACCGACTTTTAAGCGCCTCCACCTGCTGTGATGCTGGACGTGGTGAAGATGAAGGAGGCGTGCAGGATCTGCGCCCGCGAGCTCTGCGGCAACCAGCGGCGATGGATTTTCCACCCGGCGGCCAAGATCAACCTGCAGGTGCTGCTGTCCCACGCTCTGGGCCACGAGCTGACGCGGGACGGCCGCGGGGAGTTCGCCTGCTCCAAATGCACCTTCATGCTGGACCGCATGTACCGCTTCGACACGGTCATCGCCCGCGTGGAAGCGCTGTCTCTGGAGCGCCTCCACAAGCTGCTGCTGGAGAAAGACCGGCTGAGGCAGTGTATCGGAGGGCTGTACCGGAAGAACAACGCGGAGGATGGGAACGCGGCTCCTCCCGGGTCCGCTGTGGAGGTGGTTGGGACTGAGGTGGAGTCAGAAGACTCTCCTGTGGTGGATCTGTCAGCCCTTCAGGAAGTCAGATACTCAGATATGATCCAGGATGATCTGACTTACTCTGTGTACGAATCCTGGGCCGATAAGGAGGACGCCACCCTGGACCACCACACCCATCACCACCACCTCCTCCAGTGCCCAGGAGCAGACTCTCTCCCTGGCCAGAAGCCGAGGCGGTGCAGGGGTTGTGCGGCTCTCCGTGTTGCTGATTCTGACTACGAGGCGGTGTGTAAGGTGCCGCGCAAGATTGGGCGTAGGAGCACATCCTGCGGTCCGTCTACTCGCTACTCAACAGCCACTCCGGGGGTCGAGGAACCCGCCAGAGCTTCTGGAGTATCTGAGGCTACGGCTGTCTCCTTTGAGTCCTCTTCAGCTGGGTTGGACACTGATAAGACCATGTGTGACAGGACAAGTACCAGCCCAACGTCGTCTGTAGAATCTCTCGACACCGCCGTGGACATGAGTTGCTCTCCTGCGAACCACAAAGAAAGAGAAGAAACGGAACCAGAGAAAGATCCAGAAGAAGCTCCCGTGAGAAGGGACATTCAATGGGACAAACCCCCGAGTGAGAGCTCCCTCCCTGGGCTTGACACGATGCTGAGCCTCCTCAGGGGATGGGAGTACCGGCCAGTGAAGCCTCGAAGGGGCAGCAAGCTCCCAGTTTTGGTCAAAGCCAAACTGGAGCAAGGCCTGTCGCTGCACCTCCCCATCCGGCTGAGGTCACCCTGTGGAGGGGCAGCGGACTGCGAGCTGTACCCCCACCAACCTATACCGGAGGTCGTGACCCCGTGTCCCCAGGCGGAGCTGCAGGTGGAGCTGGCAGAGATGGAGGAGCAGTGGCTGGATGATTATGTTCAGTGCGGTCCGTTCCGCTTTCAGCAGGTAGATCTGCAGCCTGGTTACTGGATGACCTCTGACCTCCCTGTAGCTGAGTCAGTGTAGATTTTGTAGCTTTCATATAAGCAGGACAGTTAAAACAAGGAGGCCGTGAGAAGGATTCAGGTTTGTTAGATATGAACTATTACAAGGAACCTGAAGTCAGGGTTTCCTGACCTCTGCAGCTTCGATTTGTCCCCCAACTTTATTGAAGAGCATTATTAAATCACTAGAATCTGAAGTGAGGGGACCTGTTAACTGTGAAGCCCAGTTCAGACCAAAGATTCTTGACGAGATGAGTTTTAGATCGTTACAGAGAACTGACCCATCTCAGCTCAACCAAAGTCAGCTGATCCTTACCTCTTCCACTCCGTCTTTCAGAGACTGTAGCGGGCTGAGTTTTAAAGCCCGAGTGAAGATAGCACATATCATATGAAACTAGATGACCTAACGCATCCACTGGTACCAACCATATCATGCTAACATGTTGGGAAGGGGGTTGTTGTGGAGACGATACACCGCCTCAATCTTGTTGCTTTGCTGTAAACAGGCCGGTTTTCAGAACGTTTCAGAACAGCATATTGCGAGTAGTTACAAGTTTCAACTCATCTTGTCACGAATCTTTGGTCTGAACTGGGCTTAAGATGCAGCTGACAGTGTCCTTTCGCAGCAGGAAACAGGACTGCCCTGGTTCTAGACCTCTGACTCACCACCAACAAACAAAATTGCATTTCGGTCTAATTATCAAGCTAAAACGGGACAACTTCTGGATGTCTGAGGGACACGTGACCTGGTTTAAAACCTAGATGTTCAATGAAAGTCTGAAAAATACAGAAAAACAAATCTGATCCATCTGATGCAAACTTGGAGCTTTGTGCTCCTAAACGAGGTCAAACCTCTCTGGATATTAGACTTACTCATCTCCTTCACCACCGCTGACAAAGCTGAACACACTCGCAGCCTTGATTACTCTCTCGGGGAGCATAAATGCTCGTCCTCGTCGGTATCCTAGCAACACTTTCGTTGCCACGGGGACAGTCTCCAAGCGCCCTCAGCCGTCTGAACGCGCCGAGGCTCAATTTGCTCGGCCTGATCCAGTTTCATAACTTCTATTGTTATGTTAATGATTAGTGTGAATGTGGTTCAGTGTGCCAGGAGACAAGACAGTCTATTATAGGCCGGTCTGTTATACAGCAATGTATCTGCAGCAGGCGGTACAACAGACCTCTCTCTGCTATGAATGAGGAAAATTTACACTCAGGCCATTTACACACTCATAAAGAGTATTTAAAGCGGGAGTCTGGTGAAGTAAATGGCTCCATTTAGTGCTGACCTTTCTGTCAGAGCTCTATTTCAGGACCTGAAACCTCCTCATCATGCAGAAACAGCAGCAATAAATAACTTAATTGGATGTCTCACTGAGAGAGATTGGTCAAAAGAATTTGTCTGCAGAGACTGAAAGCAGAGACGCGTCATCAGCTCACATCGTTAGTCAGCTCCACTTCGCCTCCGCTGGCTCAGACGAACCGCCATGGCGACGACCACGTAACGATAAACTCAACTCATGATACTCGGTTCACAGTACGAGTTTCTCCTGATTCTTTTTAAGAAAATTAGATTAAAAACAAATAATGACCAAAAGAAAAATATACAAAATATATTCTCTTTACTTTTAAATAAAACTAAAGATAAACTGTTCAAAAGAATCTTTTTTTTTCTAAAAGTGAAACTGATAATACAATCCTGTCAACTACCGACAACAGCCTCATATCTCTTGTCTGTAATCTTTTTTTCTGACTGAGCGAAGCCAAAAATCTGCCACACCTCGGATTTTAAACCTGCAACAAAACTTCTATGTTAGCTGTGTCTCCTTTCACTGTCAGTTCGACAGTTTTGGGCGCCGGCTGTAGCAGCTGTAGAGTGCAGTGACATCAGTGTTACACAGATAATAAAAACAAAAACAAGGAAGTCAACAACACGCTGCCATGGCAACAGCCGCTTACCCAGGAAGTCATCCAGCAGTGAACTGACATCACTTTCCACTTTCACTCAATCACACACTCAACAGCTGCAGAGCGAACGCACACGTTTCCATCTTTCCACCACCGACTGACCTCTGTTATTTTAAATACATAACAGCTGATGTAATCCTTATTTTTAATTAGATTTTGATTTGATTACTTATGTAAGCAACAAGTGGCTGTCACAATATACAAGTCTTCAGTTTTATGCCCCGAATGATCAGATTTTACGGACTGTTTGAGCTTTAATATCTTCTAGGTTGGTCCAGCTGCTGCCTACAGTGCATGTTGGCGTTGTTAGTTGACCTCTGGTGTGTCTGTGTGTCTTTCAGAGGCTGATTGATGAGCAGCAGGGTCAGCTCAGCCAGTATGAGAGCGCTGCAGGTCAGTGTGTCGGTGAGCTGCAGAAGGCCCAGGACCAGGTCCGCTCGCTCCAGGCCAAGATCAGAGAGAGCGAGACCAGGAACCAGGTACAAACACGACCCCCCTCCTCCTCCCACCTCCAGACCTACACTTCATCCATCTGAATCTGCTTTCACACAAGCTCTAATGCTAAGCTAATGTTGTATACTGAGTCAACTCTGTCTGTGTGTGTGTGTCTGTGTGTGTGTGTAGAAGCTGCAGGAGCGCCTCGGTGAGATGGAGTTGGAGCTGCGTTCGGCCCAGGAGGAAGCCCAGCGACAGGAGAGAAACATCCAGAACATCACTGATACCGTGAACTCCAAGGATGCACAGGTACAGACAGACAGACAGACAGACAGACAGACAGACAGACAGACAGACAGACAGAGTGAACAAATGAGGGCAGGCAGAAATAGACAGGAAGGAATAAATGTAGACAGGAAAACAACAGCAGTGTCAAAAGTGAAAATAGACAAAGAATGCACAGTTTCTTTATTAAACAGTGTGTGTGTGTGTGTGTGTGTGTGTGCAGGCTGCAGAGCTGTATCGGGTGATTGAGGAACAGAATAAGATGCTGTGTTCTCTCAAAGAACTCGCCAACCGCAACCAGCTGCAGCAGCTGCAGGTTCGTCCTCCACACTGACACCGATGGCAGCATCCTCACATCCACTCCCTCCACCAGGATCTCACTTCAGAAGTGTTCAACCAGCATTTTAAATCAGAGCTAAGTTTTCCTCCTGTGTGTGTCCCTCTCTGGTTACCTGCAGGTGACCGGGGCAGAGAGTATTCGAGGTCAGGGTGAGGTCCTGGCTCTGCAGGCGTCTCTCTTCCAGGCTCAGCTGGAGCTGCAGGCCGGTCAGCGGGCGCAGCATCAGGCGGCCAGGACGCAGGAGGACCTGAGCCGAGCCCTGCAGAGACTGGAGAAAGACCTGCAGGGGGCGCTGCAGCACAGGAGGGAGACAGAGAGACACAACCAGGCGAGGGAATCTTTTTCTCTGTGTTCCCTGAGAGGTCCCCTCACATCCTGGTTCTTCCTGTTAACGTGTGTGTGTGTGTGTGTGTGATGTTCAGGACCTGCAGCTGGCTCTGGAGAAGGCTCGGTCAGCCCTGCAGGAGAGAGAGGAGCAGCTGAGAGAGCGCGAGCAGGAGAGGCAGAGGCGGGACGAGGAGAGAGAGAAGACCATCAGAAAGCTGAGGACGTCCCTGCTGACCAAAGAGCAACTGATAGAGGTCAGAGGTCACTCACACTGTGTACAGTAAACAGCTCCTCCCAGGCTGCACCAGCACTTACAAACACTCACTGCTCATACCGAACAGAAACCCCACAGCTGAATGTGGAAGTGCAACAAGCTGAAGTCCGTCTGCCGACCGCTGCAAGAGCCAGCTGAACTGAAGTGACTCATAGCTCCAGATTATTCTGCAATCTCTGTTTAACTTCCTCTAATGTGCTCATTTTAAACTTATTGTTCCATTAAAGGACTCGACTTTCACAGATGTGTCCACACACGGCTCCTCTCAGGCTCTCCCACCTCACACACACTTCAATTCTATTTTTATGGCAGGACACTCAGGACACTTTCAGTTCCAGCTCCTTATTAAATTATTTATACATCCGACAAATCCCATCATGAGCAAGCGCTTGGCGACAGCGGCAAGGAAGAACTTCCCTTTAAGAGGCAGAAACCTCAAGCAGACCTTAAAAACTCCCCCGTTGGGGCGCCTGGTCTCTTCCCCTCTCTCCCCACTTTCCTGTCTCTCTACAGCTGCTGCTATCAAATA